GCCCACTTCCTCGTCTCGCGCAACCAGGGTTTTTGAGAACGACGACGAGAACAACGACAACAGCTACCTCTGCACACCATTTGCGAGCAGCTTTACAGTGAAAAACATCTACATTGTCGTGTCATTTGACGAACTTCATCTTTCTCCCCGATTGGATTCGAGTTTGAAATCGGTTTTCGTCTACACTCGAGGTTAGTGTTCATTGTCATTGCTATATGTTTACATTGAATCCGTGATTGTTTTTGGGGATCTCAATCACGTTATAGTATGAATGTCTCCACTGGATTGTTATTGGAATGCAGTTATTTGTTTATTTGTTTGAGTGCATTCGGTTTACACACTCCATTGTTGTTGGAACGTGCTTTGTTGTTTGTATATTAATTTTTTTTTACATATAATTTTTAAATCTTTAGGAGTGACGAAACTTTATAACATAATATGAATCGAAGTTGGATGAATGCACGTCGTATTAGTGAAGAGTACGAAAAGGGAGTTGAGGAATTTCTGAAATTTGCTAGTGAAAATGGAAAAGCTATGAAAGGGACATATTATTGTCCATGTGTTCGTTGTTTGAATCAAATTCGTCATAAACTTGAGGATATACGTGATCACTTGTTTGTTTATGGTATTATTAAGAGTTATACAATATGGACATGGCATGGAGAAATATTAGACATCCCAACTGTGTCAACTACGGACAATTTTGATGAAGGGATGGATGATAATCTAGAGGATATGATACGTGATATTGGTGAAGAACATTTTATGAAAGCACATCTATATGATTCTTTGAAATCTGATTTTGCGCAACAATTGTACATAGGATGTAGTTTTACAAGATTATCAGCAACTTTAAAATTGTTTACTTTAAAAGCAAGAAATGGATGGACTGATAAAAGTTTCACCGAATTATTGGAGTTGTTGAAGGAGATGCTTCCTGAAGATAATACATTACCTATTCGTAACTATGAGGCAAAGAAGATATTATGTCCAATGGGTTTAGAGTACAAGAAAATACATGCATGTCCTAATGATTGTATATTGTACAGAAATGATTTTGCTAAATTAAAGATGTGTCCGACATGTGGTTTGTCGAGGTTCAAAACCAAAGTTGAGGAAAGTAGTGGTGAGGAAGAACTAGATGGTCCCCCTGCTAAGGTGTTATGGTATTTGCCAATTATACCTAGGTTTAAAAGATTATTTGCCATAAAAGAAGATGCAAGAAACTTGACATGGCATGCAAATGGTAGAAAATGTGACAATCTTCTTCGACATCCAGCTGATTCTCCACAATGGAAAAGGATTGATGAAACCTTTCCAGAATTTGTTTAGGAGGACTTGCGTCGTGCTAAGCATAAAAAGCAACCTATTATTGATGAGGATCTGACAGAATGTGATGATGATCCCATCTCTATGTTGTTAGCCGTATTACCACGGTTGAGGAAGAGACCGTGTCAGATACAATGGGATGTTAGAGTGTTTGGAATTGACAATTCCAGTGTTCCATTGTACATTTCCTTGCCCGATGCTTTAGAAATTGCTTGGGGGAAATTGCATGTTAAACATTTCCATCATACAATTGTGGGCAATGTAAGTCATTTTCATTTATGTTTCTAAGATTATAATAATTATATTCAACTTATAATTAATTGTTTTAGGTACCTTGACAATTTGAGTGTGGAACAAGAAAAATCCGAAGTATACGGATTTATTGAGCCTCAATCCATCCAAAAATCTGGAAATACAAAGGTTGGAATCCAACAATATATGCAAACATGGATGAGTGACTCAAGAAGACATATATATTTGGCTCCATACATTGAAGGGTTAGTATTTTGATTTGTATTTTAATTTATATTTTTGTAACTAATTTTTATGTCATACAATGTAGGTCCCATTGGCGAGTTAATTGTAATCATACCCCGGGATTACACTGTGGTATGGTTTTGTTCATTACATCGGAAACCGAGTCAAGAAATGAAAAGCTTATTACAAGGGTAACTTTATCTTTTATTCATTAATTATGTTTTTAAATTGTGAATACATATTGAATAATATATGACTTTTTTTCACTTAGAATCGTGTCCGGAACTAATGTTCTAAGTGGAAAACCTAGAACAAAGACATTGCGAGTTCATTTATCCTAAGGTTAGAAACTTATTTATATAAGTGAATACCATAATTATTGTTTATATTTCAATTTTGAAAATAATATTATGTTTTTTTCATCATTTCAGTGTAATAAGCAAACTGACTCGTTTGAATGTGGTTACTATGTAATGTATTGGATGAGAGCCATAGTTTGTGCGGGTTTAATTGATTCTTGGACTGAGGTAATTACTTTTAACATTAGTTAAGTTTATTTAACTTTATTCATGTTGCATGCTTACAAGAGTCAAATTCATGTTTCGGGTATTTCAAGATCCATCTCCATTACCAGTAATCCGAGATTACGAAATTAGAGAACAATGGGCAAAATTTTTTGTTCTACAATTCTAGTACATTATTTTTTATGTTCTTGTTCATATTATATTGTGTGTATTATGTAGTTTAGTTTAGTTTGTATAGGTAGCTTAGTTTGTATAGGTAGCTTAGTTTGTAATAGATTTTTTAGTTTGTATGTTTGTATTATTTTGTTTTATTATGTAGTTTGAATTATATAATATTATATTTTTAATTTACTAGCAAAAGAAAACTGCTTGGACTGTCTGGTTGTAATTTTTGCAGGTTTTAGTTGTAAAAGCAGAGTAAATAAACCCAATTTAAAAAAAAACAAGTAAATTTACGTCGCATATTGGTATATACGACGTAAATTTACGTCACATATACCAATATGCGACGTAAATTTACGTCGCATATACCATATGCGACGTAAATTTACGTCGCATATTGGTATATGCGACGTAAATTTACGTCGTATATACCAATATGCGACGTAAATTTACGTCGTATATACTGTATGCGACGTAAATTTTCTGTTTTTTTTTTAAATTGAAAAGGTTTTTACGTCTGTTTATTGTATATGCCACGCAAAATTACGTCGTATCTTCATAACTGACGTAAATCTACGTCGGGTAAAAGGGTCCGACGTAAATTTACGTCTCCCGCTTTTACGTCGGACTTAAATACGACGTAAAAAGCCCTAAATACCTGACGTAAAAGCCCCTTTTTGCACTAGTGGTACGCTGTGACATTCTCATATCCCACTCCTTCACCTTTCTATTATTCTTGTTATTCCATTTTGACGTCAACGAACGGAAACAAGAAAAGAAGAGAGGCTCATACTAAATTTTCAATAGGTCGAAATCGTAAGGTGGGTTTCCCATAATGTAATTTTAATCTGAGTGACTTTTCTTGTAGTTAATTTTGTTACAGCACTTGTGAATTTTCCATGTTATGTGTGGCCATGTTTACTATGGAACAAGCGTTTTTTGAAGTATACGACTTTTCATATGATGGGTCAAAATCTCCTGTTCACTCTGCACTCTACCTATTATTGTTTCCCCTTCCTACACTATAATGGAGTTTAGTTATTATATAATGATGCATGAGCTACAATTTTGCTTATACTTAAACATTGATATTGAACGTTAATTTTAGGATTAAATAATATATTATTAATAAATATAAAAAAAAATAAAGAGTGAGAGGATAAAATTATAAATGTATAAATAAATATATTTGAGAGAACAAAATCATAAATTATATAAAAATTATCAAGAATAAAAAGATAAAATTATAAATATATAAGTAAATATATTAAATAATTATTAATTTTGGAGGAACCAAAATAATAAAAGGAGTTACAAAATTTTGAAAAAAACAAATAGTGATTTTAGTTTTTGAAATTGGTAGGCTTTGTCACTGTCCGTTAGCTTCTAAATTAAGAAATCATTAAACTTGAGACAATTAGTGAAAGTATTGAAAAGTAAATCCAACATATTTGACATATAAGAGAGGAATTTAAGTTTTAAGTCATGTCAGTAAAATTCATTTCTTAGAGAGAAAAAAAATTAGCAAATAATACAAATGGTTTAATTGAACATAATTATTATATAATCCATGTAAAGTATGGATAAATTCAAGCTGACATGTTTCTATGTCCCTGAAGGGAATAAAGATTACATTATGATGATTCGCATTCAAAGAAAATAAGAATAACATTAAACAAGAAAGTTATTTAATAGAAAGTCATGGTGTCCCAATTAAAATATTGCTTTTATTTTTTTATCTTATCCTCTTTTCTTAACACTCAACTCTAAATATTTCCCATATTAAATTATAATTTTTATCTTTTCCCATTTATTTGATTTTTATTTGAATTATGATGGTCTATTTTGCATTTGTGGTAATATCCACAAACTATGAAGTTCAGACAACATTATTGAGAGTCACATGCTGAACAAATCCACTCTTAATCGTAAGCAATATACAAAAAAACATGAGGTAATAATTGCAACGATGTTTGACAAAGTGAATGAAAAGTTTGGTCCTAACATGCTCTCTATAAAAAAGTGGCAATTTTACACCAACGTTGATGAATAGAAGAATGTAGGTTTGAACCCCACAATTGTTGGTTAGGAGCATGTTATGTCCATGAATGAAAACATTGTGAAAAGAGGTAGATGAAGTGGAAATGAAACCCTATGAAGAGAGATAAAGAGGGAGTGTGAAGTTGAAAACTTGGTAGTGGTTTTTGTCAATGTGTTGGAGCTTGATAGACAATCGAGATGAAAGAGAGATGGGCATGGCCAAATAAGAGATATGGATGAGGATGATGAGACTTGGTCGTACACAGCTTTATATTGTATAATTTTGTTTTGCAAGTGAATATTCAAGGTAAAAATGAGTGTTGGTGGCTTAATGTGCGATTAATTAAAACAGGCCCGAATAATTAGGGACATAAGATAATTTGGCAGAATGATTAGTGCTAGACAGATAGGTTCTATATTTGTAGCTTAGGGTAGCTAAGCAAGCAGAAGGTGTAAAGTGTCTCATAGCTAGGCTGAGAAGTTTTCATTGAAGTAGATTCTGATTCCTGTTTCCAGAGAAGAATCCCATGCGTTCCCATTCACTGCCGTGCCACCAACTCCAGCCACTCCAGTCACAATTTCAATTACCATACTCCAGGATCTCCACACTGGAGATTAAGCTGTGTTTAGGTAAATAGTTTGGTTAAACATTCATTAATAAAATCCTATCAACTGATAATTTAACATAAAACCAATTAAGAATACGTGAACTAGTGTAACAATCATTTAAATCATATCACACATATAAAATAGGTTACCTCTAATAAAATATGTTAGAATATGGCAAAAGATATTTTAATAATAACATTTTTATTCAAGACAATAATAATCATATTTTGACTTACAATATAATAATAACTTATCATAAAAAAAATTATATTTTGATAATAATACTTTTGCCTTACAATAAAATAATAACTTATAATAAAAAAAATAAATTTTAATTCTAATATCATATAAAGTTCCAACATAAAATTGTATTTCAACCATATCACATTACACCGATTATCTAAAACTTCCAACATTGATTAAATATTTTAAATTTGACAAAGCTTGTTAAAAGAAATTAAGATAAGTTAGAGTAAAACACTTATCTCATACTCAGAAGGTGTTAGCATAAAGATCAGATAGTTGGAACATGTCCCACCCTACACGTGGAATCAAAGCGCGAGATGAGTCCCGACCCACCCATGTGCCTCGCTCCAGTAGATAAAATAAAAGCCATATTCTTTTTTCACTCAGAAATGATAAAACCAAATTTTATATTATTTTTTTAAAATATTCTTTATTATTAACCAATACAAATTCATTACAAGTTACTACTCTAGGAAAAAAAAAGTTAGATAGAATCACCATACTCCACTATTAGAATATTGTCTAGAGACGAAGGTTTGAACGTGTATTTATAAACATCCCAATTAATTTATCGTGGTTCGTCATTTATAATTTATGATTGTACTTCTTTCATTTTTTTTTCATGTCATAACTTTCTTTAATTATAAATCTCTTTTAAGGATTGGTGTAGGTCGTGAATCGCAAATCGTTTACCCTAATTTAAAGACATGGATTCTCTATCGATCTCCTACGTCAATCATTCATCAATCATAATTTTTAGTTGAAAATATAATTATGATTAGTTTAAAATTTTTTTATTTTTTTATTTTAGTTTAATTTTTAATCGTTACTTTTTTTAATCAATGATTGAAAATGTATTTTATTTTCTAAGCGCGTCTTTTCACGACAATTCAAATTGGATTTTAGAGCCTTTCAAAATGAAATATGAGTGCATCATTTTTGAAGTATTTGAGAGAGCAAGATGTGTGTACCTCCTAAACATTTTTCACGAGAATAAATTTCATTCGTTAACTATTTTAAATTTATCTTTTAAGAAAATAAAACGTATCTGTAATCATTATTATTTATTATCACTTTCATTTCAGTATTATATCAGCATTATATTCGATTTGGAAACCAATTATTAGTTTGTTGAAAGATTTAAGTGAGATGTTTGTAATTGAGTTTTTCAAGAATCGAAGTATCTCCGCCAAGAATAAATTTGTATACTTATTTACGATGAAATATAATCTCAATTTAAAAGCAAGGAATTATGGTACATTTGTATAACTCTTAGTTTTATGATAATACAACGACAGTTAGTTCTGTATACCTACATTTGTAATAAAAAGGGTAAATAAATAAGGGGATTTCAGAGACACTCACTAATCAAAGAAGAATATTTGCAATGTGTACTTGGTTGTTCCACTCGGCTGCACACCGCATGCAATGTGTCTTCTGATATAATCAGGAAATGGATTCATGTTTATGATTAGAGAGTTCAGAAGCAGGAAAAATAATCCATTAACAGCAGCATTTCTTTCTCTTAGCTGATAAAATCTGACTAATTGCCCAACACATATACCTCATGAGTGTTCACATAAATTACCAAACTGTAACTAGTAATCACGACTAGTAAAAACAAAAACAGAAATGTAGAGTAAAATAATGAAGTGATTAACGTTTAGAAGCTTAGCATGCCCACAGAATCTCTCTGTAGCTTGCAAATTGAGCGCGACAACCTGATCCCGAGCATTTTGCGATACAGGACACGTGAGGCCAGCTGAATAGCTATAAAACACGACATGTTTGAGGGATACCGTAGTAAGTTGGAAGATCTAATCATGTGAAGGACACTGAATACTCTATCTAGGTCTGATACGTGGGGCTATCTTTCAATTCAGAACATACCTAAATATGCACTAACACATGCACACAAGTCTTGTAAACAAATGAAATTTCAGCAACATAGTTCATATCAATTAGTCATAGTCGTAGAGATTAATTCATCCAAGTATTAGTATTTTTTATGAGAACAATCCCTTGTCTTTGGGGAAGTTCAACCTGACATTCAGAATAGTTATTAGAAAGAAATTGCATGTTAAAGTTGAGACTTCATGGGCAGAAGCATACAAGTTGAAACAAACAACCTCCCTCGCCTTTCTTCTTCTTTTGTCATGAGATAGGACTCCAGAAATAACAGGTCTATAACAATAGGTCACACCCAGTGTGCAATTTACATGGCTTATTCTTTGATCTGAATCCTTTATTTCACATAATTCAACAACAACCAAAAACTTCATCCAAGAAAAATGGAAAGGAGGGAAAGGCAAAGTAGAGAAATATTTAAAAAGAAAAGTGACAGGAGTAGAAGAATGAAAGAGCAAGGAGAAGTAGCATTAACAGTATTGTGGAAAAAGTGTTTCTAGAATCTCCGACATGTCGAAGCTGGGCACCCTATCAAACGTAGTCTTCATTCGTCCCTGCAAATACAATAATTCAACCATTTACGAAACCTTCCCACCTTTCTTCTTGTCGTTTTCTGTTCCAGCTGTTCCCTCATGAGAATGGATAGATATGAATAGCAAGATTGGCTCAAAACTCAAGATATAATTAAAGACAACAAAATAAATTTCATTCCATTCTTAAACGCAAATCACAGACAAATATCTTATTTATACTAGTTTTATACGATTATTGGAAGAAATTAAAGATGGTGACAAAAATACAGGTTGCAAAAAATTTCTCTTATGCTGCATGATTTGCCACACTTAAAAGAATTGATGGTTATTCTTGATATCCATGACCACTTGTTAATAATCGTGTAACGTTTCATGAGTGCTCGTCATCCTCGGTCACTGTTCCCCGGGTTGAACAAAACTCAACTTGAGTCAAATACAATTCGGACCCAATCCAAAAATTCATCGTTAGAATTTATCTTCAAAATCTGAAATCTCCACTCTAATGTCATTGTTCTTAAGTTCATTTATGTGTGAAATTTAAAGGGGGTTAGAAATATAGGGGATGATCATGGCATGGAGATCACTCCTCTTCCTCTGGTTAAGTCGGTTAAGTCTGAAAACAAATTAAAATCTTAATATTTTTCTTACGAAAGTTTCGTCTGATCATACAACAATTTTTCTTTGTGTAAGAAGACTATTCTACAGAAGTTAATGTGAATAGGTACTGTTGGAAAAGAATTGGGATTTTCATATGAAACTTCAAAAAGTCAAAAGCCATTCATTCCTCGTGAAAAGATGTGCTTTGAATATAGAGTTAAAACATCACAATAAATAAGACAGGTTCTCTATAACAATAACCAAAGTTATCAATTTGAAAAAATAAGCAAAATACTATTAACAATATAAGATAACAGTTATAGAGATTATGTTAATTATAACAATAATGATAATTACAGTAATAATGGATTAATAGCAATATTGAATTAATGATGATTAAGATATTTTAAGATGTAATTATTATTAGAATCTTTCCAAAATTTCTTCTTATAAGTTTAATCTTCTATAGATTTACAATTACGTGGAAATTTAATGAATTTTCAAGTAATTATTTTAATATAGGTTGTATAGTTTAATTCAATCACTCTCTTTCACACATTAAAAAGACATTCTCATAATATATATCTCCTTTGTATGTATGTATTAGTGATAGAAAGAATCGCATACCTTCGTTACTGTGTATGTCTTTCTCCTTAATGGTGATAGGTACAAATATTAGGTTTGCGATTTACTATTCTCATAAAACTAAACTAAAACTAATAGTATGAATTTATATTATTATTATTATTATTATTATTATTATTATTATTATTATTAAACATGTAATTTAATGGTATACTAATATATTTTTTTTCTGATTTTCACAATTATTTAGTTAAAAAAAGGAAATTACAAATATATTATTCATACATATTAATGGAAAATTATATATGTCTGAATTTTTGGATAAAATCATTTTTTTCATGAGAGAATTTTGAATAACATTAGATTCAATTGATTAGAGCGAGTCAACTCATTCTTGATCAATTGATTTATTTAGGATTGTAAAAAACATTAAAAAAATAAACTAATTAAACTAAACCGACCTTAATCCACTTATTAACACCTCTGTGCTTGAACTTGAGCGTATTTTGCACATAGACGACCCAATTAGGGAAGAAGGTCTCACCCTTTTTATTTGTAAAAATAAAAGACTAATAGTATAAAAAATTCAAAAATTTACTTTATTTTCCAACCTTTGAAACAAATTTTCATCAAACTACCCAATTTTTTCTTTAATGCCAACACTATTTTATTTTTTTCATCAAATGCTAGTATTTAAAAAAAGTATATAGACCAAAGTCATTTGAAAGGGTAGGAGACTAAGACCAAAATTTGAAAAAGACAAAAAGACTACAAACCCTGATAACCCAAAAATAAAAATAACAATATAGTGCTTCGCTATTACACTTTTCATTGGTGAATCACATGGTATATATATGTATCATGTGTGTGTACATTGAAGAATTTATACGAACAACAGTGGGATCCGTTTTATGATTGGAATAGAAAGAAAAATGAGTGACGATGGTGAATACGAGGAGGAGTAGCGAGTGTTTTGACTGTTATGTTCTCTGGATTTCGCATGGGAGGAGGTGGTGGTGATGGAACTCTTCTTTTTGAAGATAAGCTTCTGACTGTGTCTGAGTCTGAGGTTGATGGTGATGGTGATGCCTACTACCTTTTCTCCCTCACCACTGTCTAGGCCCGCACGTTGAAAACGACCTTCTCTCCCAACACTAATCTTTCTGGACCCTCCTCGTCTGCAGTCAAATGCTATTGCTGATTCTTTTCCAGAGCCTAGCCAAGCAACATCACTCACAATCATCACAAATTCGCAATCTTTTATTATTATAAAAGTGAAACCCTATTGTATCAACTAATAATTCATCATTCTTACCATGGGAACCAAGTATCGTAGTTTGGGCTTCTAGTGCCACCAAAATGAATGTTATTATCAACTTCCTTCCAAACTCAACTTCACCTATTAATTCTATCATCAAACTCCTACGTGCTTTAAATCCATTATGCAAAAAGTAAACAACAGCTGAGGGCAGAAAGTGAGGGTGAGAAAAAACGAGGGAAGAGATTTAACTTAATTATACAATTAATTAATAAATATAATAGTATCCCGTTGCCTTGTGAATGTGAGTAGAACCTTCTTCAGCGCTTGGTATCTTCTAACTGCCACAGACCCATACTGGATTGGGCTGCAAATCATCTTCGGCTATGCTGGACTCAATGGAACTTGGGGCAGACATATTACGCAAATATAATCAATAATAAATATTTCTTATAATTTAATATATAAAATGAATTAACAAAAATTGAGTGTAAGATGAGTTTGGGGTAAAACTTTTATAAAGACAATAAGAAACTTGTCATAAAATTGTGAATTATAATTCTTAAAGGAGTGTGAAGGTAACTAGGAATGAGGAGATCAAAACATGTATTATTTACAATATCGTTAATTCGTTGACTGCATAATGAAATTCATTGGATGAAAATATTGTCCTTTAATTAAGATATTTAGTCTTTTATATTATAGAACTAATATCGAGGTAAATATATTAGATATCAACCTTTGGTGAAGAGAAATGGTTATAAAACTTACTGTTCATGAATTAAAAAATATAATAAAAAAATTTAAGATTATGCATATGATTCTCGTTATTTGACTATTTGGTGATATAATCTCGATGGTATTATATCTAGAATCATATTTTTTTAATATAATTGTAACTTAACATTTTTTTTAACCACTTTTTTTATTATGTTCTTTAACTTTATTATTACTATAAATATATATCACTTCATTTTCCAATCCATAAGATTTTGTTTAGGTCATTACATCTTACTATGTATTTTCTTTCTTCTTCTTTTTTCTGTTTTATGAATTTTTGCATGACAATATACATGGATTACATTTGGTCCCATATATTTATTATGTATCAGAACTCCGATGCGCACTCCCATCTTTCACTATCATCATGAGTGAAAATACAAAGTATGTTAACAATCACTTATTTTTATACCTAAGTAAGAACCTAACAATTGTCCTAGTCTCATATGTCCTTAATTCCAATAATTATCACTCATTAAGCAGATCTATGATCACTGCTAAAAACAAAGTTGAATTTATTTATGACAGTACTCTTTAACCATCAAAGTCAGATCCAGCATACGCAGCATGATATTGATGCAATAATATGGTTGTGTCATGGATTGTTCATTCTATTTCTCTCTCAATCCAACAAAGCATCTTATGGATGGATCAAGCAGATGAAATATGAAAAGATTTGAAATTCAGATATTCTCAAGGTGATCTTTTTTGTGTCTCTGATTTACAATTCAAAATCTTATCTATGAAGCAAGGTGAATTTAACGTTACTGAGTATTTTACTAAGTTGAGAATTATTTAGGATAAACTTGAAAATTTTATATCAGATCTGATTTGTATCTGCTAATCCAAATACACTTGTGTTGTTTTATCTATACTTGCTCAACGAAAACTTGAAGATTGAGTTATGCAGCTTTTATGGGAATTAAACGAATAGTATAGTAATATCCGCTAACATGTTCTTCTCATGGATCATTTATCATCTCTCTCTAAAATTTTCTCTTATGTGTCTTAGTAAGAGAGACAACTTGTAGAGAACAATTTATTCATTAATGTAGGATCTGACATCAAAGAAATAATGGTCAATGTTGTTGATATCTCTATTCATTGTACTCATTGTGGACGTATAAGTCATATTACAATTTTGTTGTAGGAAACATGAGTTTCCTTCAAACGCTGACAATAAAATTGTTAAACGATTCATTAATTGCAATACTAAATTTTGCTGACATGTGCTATAGGAAATATGGTTTCCCTCCGGGACACAAACTCTATAATGGTGATAAAATCACTCTCAGCAATAGCATGGTGACTGGTGAAAGTAAAGTCACTACAAATGACCAACAAAATCATGAGAATCAAGAATTTCGTTTCTCTTCTCAACAGTATCAAGCACTACTAACTTTAATTCAGTAATTTCAGCCTGAATCTTCAATTCTCAATACATCCCACATCAACCAAATTGGTACTATTTCTTCCTCTAATCAATTAGGTAAATTTAAGTTTATAGTCCCTTGGATCTTAGATTCGGGAGCTACCTGTCATGTCTCCTCTTCACTTGATAATTTTTCCTCTTACTTTAAAATTGATCCTAAGTTGTTAAGTTGCCTACTAGTCAACATGTTACAGCTACTCAGTCTGGAGTTATTCATATCTCTAATTCATGTTTTTTAGTTGATGTTCTCTATATTCCCAATTTTACTTTTAATCTCATTTCTATTTTTAAATTTGTGAATTCTCTTAATTGTATTTTGAATTTTTCATCTATTTCTTGTATCATACATGATGTGACTACGAGGAAGCAGATTGGTACAACTAATGTAAATGGTGGACTCTACAAACTTGTTCTCAAATCTACTATTTCCTCATTTGTTTTATCCAGCATTATTCATCCTCAATTTAAACATTTACCTTAAGTGAGTTAATAGTAGAAATAGTATAATGAGAGTAAGTTTGAAGTTTTACCGATTAAGTTAAAAGGAATTTTAAATAGAAAAATATAATCATTCAAATTTCATTCTTACAAAACCATTATCTTTCTTTAACTTTCTTTTCTCCGCCTTCTCTAAATTTTTCACTTTGTCTCTCATATTTTTCTAGATCCAAGCACACCTTAGTGTTCCTAAAGTAAAGGAGAACAATTTTACCCGATTAGAATTTTGATTATAGTAAGTTTCTCTTTTTTCAATTTTAGACCATTTTTACATATTTGAGTTTAAGTTTACATGTAGGTCTTAGGGGCTTGCATGTACACTTTGTTTTGAAAAGATAAATCTTGACTAGTTTAGGAACATTGTGGTATGCTCAATTTGTTAATTGAGGTTTTTTGTAAGCAGGATCTATCTTCCTAAAAATTTAGGAGTTTTTGGGATTCTCTAACTTGAAGTAAGAGAAGTTAATTATTCTTAATTTCCATAATACTCTGGGCTAAAAGATCTTGATTGTGAAGGTGATTTGTACCCATTGATTAAGTTTAAGGAAATTAGATTGTGTGATTGTGTATGTCTTAATTTGTGATGATTGTATTGTATATGAATTTTACTTGATTTCTATAAGATTAAAAATGATAGTTATATATATATATATAGTTTTTATTTAGTGAATTGATTTACAATTCGAAAGATAATGTTTATATTTAATTTTATTAGAAACATTAGAAATATGGTATTGAGCATATTATGCAATATGTTATTGTCACGAATTCATCCAACAAAGTTGAATTTGCTCAACAAATTTAAGGCAGTGTTAAAAGTGCTTAAATTTTACTTAACGCTTTTAAATTTGACCAACAGATTTTGGACAATGTTGGAGATATCATTTTGTCAATCTATTTTTGAAAATCATAAAAAATATCTATGTATTTCAAATAAAACGTTCCATATATGCAAATCAAATCCTTGAAAACAAGGAATCTAATAAAGTAAGAATGAGTTAAAAATAATGCATACAAAAAAAGTTATTGTCAAAAGAGTAAATAGAGGTCAAATCGGAACAAAAATTGTATATTTATTATAATGTGATAAATAATACGTATATATCTTAAGATATTAAAATATATTTTATGAACATGAAACAAGGTGTGTTGAATTTTATTATATACCTTGACAAATGTTGTGTTATGATATGAGAATTATTAAGGGGTATCTTCATGTGTACAATATCGTATGTATAGATATTAATTTGGGACTCAATGAGATATCTTGACTCTGCTGATAACTGGAATCACATAAATGAAAGGATTAAGTGGTGAGTGTAGCATCTCAAATTAATTTATGTAAGTTTTTTTTAATATTTTAGGTATTTAAAAAAAAAAGATAAACATGTCATTATCTCTTCTTATCTTATCTCTTGTATTAAATACAAGTAAAAAAAAACAAAGAGAAGAGAGAGGCAAAGAAAGAAAGAAGAGAGGGAAAGGAAGGAGAGAGAGGGAGAGAAAGAAAAAGAGAAAGGGAGATAAAGAGAAAGAGAGAGGAAGAGAAAGGGAGAGGAAGATAAGTCATTTCTGTAAAATTTTGGTACATCATCTGCAGTTCTTAAGGTAGGGGAAGAGAATATTATAATTAAATATATTTTATTTTGATTATAGTTGTGGACTGAGGTGTCCCTAACCTCATTCTATTTATTTAGTTACTTGTTTATTTATCTCTAACTACGTAATGGTTCTGCCTTATGCTTGTTTATTTTATTTCCAGTCTTGCACTGGTCCTATTTTAATTATCTCCAGTTATGTACTGGTCCTGTTTGTTTATTTTATTTACAGTCTTGCACTGGTCCTATTTTAATTATCTCCAGTTATGTACCTGGTCCTGTTTGTTTGTTTTATTTTCTTTCTAGTGATGCAGTAATCCTATTTATTAATTTATATTTACATTATTTAATTATTTTTATAATAATATCTATTTGTGAAGAATTGATGATATTATAGATGGAGGTTGGACCTTGGGGATTTAAATGAGTGAATATCATTGAGAGTGTGATTAAAATTGGGCTCTTTTATCGTGACTAGTCACTACAAATCTAATTTAAATCTTCATAAAATAGAATGTGTTGAGGAAGTTGAAACATATATATATATATATATATATATATATATATAATATAATATAAGATTGTATTATTGTAAATGATAAATGTTTTCACTCCCTATTGTGATCTTTTGTACATGTTTTATTGAAATACCAACTTAAGTAGATAGATGCGCCAAATATTCCAAATCTCTTTTCTGCAAGCATCACTGTCTTCTTTCCAAGAACTACTACTTGCATCTCGTTACTGGAAATCTCATTATGTTAGATAGACCAGGTAGTGGTTACCTTTTGTATGCCTCCTACCTTTTACCAAAACCCCTTAATTAGTTTGTTTACACCGACAATGTAAATATTTGTATAATTGTAGTAAAAATAGAATGAATAAAAAATAAAATTTCTTCTTCTTTTATATATCTTATATATATATATATATATATATATATATATATATATATATATAGTGATGTAAATTATTTTTACATATATGTAATATTTTTTTTTACCTGCTACTCTTATACAAATAATAATAAGAAAAAAAAGTCACGTTGAGAGTCAAAAGAGGTTTTTAATGACTTAGTTTATGTCATTTAAAATTGTATCTTGATAAGTCATTTAAAAATTTATTCTAATCACACTTGAATTTTTTTACCAAATTAAACACATTTATGCTATGCACTTGAGAAATTATGGTGTGATAGGTATAAATCTCTAATATTTATTTCAATATTTAGTATAATATTTGTGTGACGTGAATATAAACTTGCATATGCATGATGTAATATATAAAAACTTAAAATTAAATTATATTATTTTATCTCATATTTAAAATTTGCATACTTAATCAAATTACTAATTTATCTTGTGTATTTTATTTATTGATTTGAAGTGTGATAATTGTAATATATATTTATAAGAAAGTAACATGATATATAATAGAACTCAACAAAATTAAGTCTAGATTTAAGAATAATATAAATTTATATTTTCTTTACTTTTAAAGTATATATATATATATATAATGTGAATATTTCTATAATAAAAGGAATGCTGGCCTCCATTTTTTTTTTCTTTTCCTTTTTCACTAAACTTAGGTCATTTCCTCTCCTCAAAATAAGGAAATCTCTCCTGAAGATATTTTATTTTTGAATTCTGATCAATAAAACCAATGGCTAGTGTTACTTGAATTTAGAGCAAAATTATCCCTTAATGTGAACTTAGAAAAACATCTCTCTCCCAATATGAAACTGAAAACTGATGATCGAGTATACAACAATTCAGATTTCAGCTGAACACTTACTGACAAAAAAATGTGTATTTATAGTAGAATTATATTTTTTATTCAATATAATGTTATAACATTTCAGATGATATATTTTATAACATATTATTTTCTTCTTAAATATTTTGACATCCACCTAAAAAAATCTAACAAACAATCCCCATTTATTAATATTATACTCATAAAGTCATTAAATCAAAATAAAATTAATTAAAAATTATTATTTTATTAATAAATCAAATTATTAATGGGTTGTATGAAAACTGGGTTCTCAATTAATCATTTTCTTTTTTTCTTATACATGACACAGAAATTTAAAATTGAATAAAATTAAATATTTTATTATAAGTTCTATATTAAATTATTTAAAATTTAGTTTAAATTATTTATTTAAATAATTTTTTTAAATTTTAAACAACTTTTATTTTTAAACAAATCTAAAGTTGATAATAAAATATTTATTTTTTATTAAAATTTAATTTAAATAATTTTTTTAAATAATTTTTTTAATTTTAAACAATTCTTTTTTATTTTTAACATCTAAACTCACGGTAAAATTTTTTATTTATTTATTTCTGATTAGCTTTTTATAATAACTCCCTCTCGCTCCCAATAAAACTTTACATTGTTAGTGATAGATAGGGATGACAATTAAACTCGTACTTCGTGAGTATTGACTCGTTCCCGTCCGAGTTTGACGGGAAAACCCGAAGTTGATCGAGGCGGAGCGAGGATGGGTAATGCAATCCCCACCCCGATTCCGCCCGTCCCCACTCCCGACTTTATATTTAAATTTAAATTTTAAAATATTAATATTTTAAAAGTATTTTCTTTTCTTTTTCTAGGTCATTTTTTTATATTTCACCAATTTTTATTTTTCTTCTACCTATTTTTTAAATTTTTTGTCTTTTTTAATCTTTTATATCAATTAATTTATTACATTATTCTCTCTTTTACCTTTTAGTTTTTCAAATTTCTTTAATCTCTCCTATTAATTTGTTTTTTTTTAATCTTTTCAATCAATTTGATGAACACAAAATTAATATTTTTTATTCTTTATCTTTTTCTAAATATTTTACATAAATCTTAGTATTAATTAATATTATTTTATTTATAATTTATATTTATTAGGTTTTATTATGTCATTTTTTTATCTTATTATTTTTATTTATCATATAAAACAATTTATTTTAATAAAATAATTATATTTTAAAGAATTAAAAAAATTGATAATTTAAACTTTTATTATTTTGAACTAATTGAATAATAATTAACTTATTAAATATTTCCTTATAAACTATATATTTTATATTTTTAAATGACAACTTAAAAATGAATTAATTTATATATAATGAAATGTTTGAATATAATATTATAATAATAATATTATAAGTATTCAAATATTTAAATATAGTATTATTATAATAATAATATTATAAATAAAAAATGATTAAATATTTCTTTTACATATATATTTTAATATAAATATAATAAATTAAAATATATATTTAATTAATAATAATTATAAATTATAAATATTTATTTATATATAAAAAATAGATAATAAAATTAATTTATTATATATAATTATCTCTTTAAAACTAACTTCCGTACGAAATGGAGGAAAAATCCAAAAAAATAACAACGGCGATGAATTCTTAATTTCTAATCGAGTATCGAATGCGGGTAGGATACCATCCGGAGGCAAAAACCGCCCCCCGCCCCTGGCATGCCTAGTGATAAGATTAAGATAAAAATGTTGGCACCAGTTCCCAAATTTTGTAATCCCTGATGCAGTTAGCGAGAAGGCAAGGATGAGAATGGTGCTTTCTTCCCCGCAAATCCAACCTCAAAGTTTCCTCCGCAGTTCAATTCGACAAGCCACCCATCCGCTTCAGGTTCACCTCAGCCCAATCAGAATCTCCCTCTCTGTGAAACCCCCCTCTTGTTCACTGGTGGCAAAATGCCAGGAGCAACAGCAACAACACCGGAAAACTCAAGATGACGGGATTCCCGCGGAGGAGGTGAAAATTCTTGTCAAGTTCAAGTCCCGCCACAACTACATCCGCGTTCTAGAAGTTTCTAGAAAGGCGGAGCACCCCTTCCGCGGCTCCAGGCTCCTTCTCCTGGACGCCCCTGGAAACATCCACAGCATATCCTTCCTCTTCAACTCCCTCACCAGAACCTACTTCGATGTCTTCGCCACGCTCCCTCCAATCCTTCCCTCCGGCCCCATCGCCCTCCTCGGCTTCGGCGCCGGCACCACCGCCCGCCTCCTCCTCGACCACTATCCCCAGGCCGTCCTCCACGGCTGGGAGCTCGACCCCGCCGTCATCCAGGTCGCGCGTGAGTACTTCAGGCTCGGAAAGCTCGAGAGGGAGCACCAGCAGCGCCTTTTCATCTTCATCGGGAACGCGCTCCACGCGACCGCGCCCAACGGCTTTTCCGGGATCATCGTGGACTTGTTCTCCAAAGGGTGCTTGATTCCCGAGCTCCAGGAACCTGCCACGTGGGAGATGCTGAGGGGGCGATTGAGGAGCGGAGGGAGGATTATGGTGAATGTTGGAGGGAGCTGTGTGGAGCCGGAGAGTAGGCTCAGAAATGGGAAGGTTGTTATGGACGAAACTCTGAGGGCCATGAAGAAGGTTTTCGGGAAGAAGCTTTTTGTTCTCAATGTCGGGAATCGCAAAGACGATAGCTCTCTTGCTCTTACTGGGGACTTGCCTCCTGCCGAAGAGTGGATGAAAAGGCTTCCCGGCCCCTTGAAATGCTACACTCAGATGTGGATGCCCTTCTCCGCTTAGTTCACATCTGTTCACCATCTGTTTGTATTTACTCCTCTCTGAAATCTTCACTTTTTGTCCCCTTTTCCGGCAAGTAAATCCCATTTTTTCACAATGTGATGGTTCGTGGACTAGCTGGAAACCTATTGTGTACTAGGTTGGTTCCTTTTCTTTAGTAAATACCTCTTACTATTTACTTCAGTTCGTATACTTTTTTAAGAGTTTTTTATTTAGTTCCCGAATTTATAATGAAGATATTTGTTCAAACTTCCATTTGATCTCTTGCTTAGAGAGAAAAAAAGAAGTTAGGAATGATTCACAATGTGTTTTGCTAGTTTTTGGTCGGTGGAATCTAAACCCAAGGGACTCTAGGTGGGGATAATTGCTCGCACAATTATGTATTACCAAAAACGTGCAGGTATGGTTTTCTAAAGCAGGAGCAGTTTAATCCCTTATGAAGATTTGATAATGGAAAGCTATTTCTAGTGGGGGCAGAAACATGGATTATATTAGAGTGTAAACTAACTGCTTTGCCAATTTGCGACTGTGGCTAAATGTGCTGTGAGTTGAAGCTCTACTAAAGTGAAAACCTGCATGAGATTTCCAATTATAAATGTACATCAAGACCTACTAATTGCAAAATTAGCAGTATCTCAGCAACTGAGTTGGCTGGGTTTGAGTTAAGATGTGTAGAAACTAGAAACCATTTAAATGTGAGGATAACATTACTGGGAAGCAAACTCATTTTTGGTTTATTGTTTTTAGAATTTTTGAATCAGTTGTCGACCATAATTTCTAATATCAGTTTTCTTTTCCCGGGTATAAAGGATTGTAATTAAGTTCTTCCTTTCTGATTTTAACTCAACTATAAATATAAATATAATATTTATTATAATTATTATTTTTTTAATCATAAATGGTTTAAATTAATCTAACTTAACCCCAAATAAACTTATTCTAACTTAACCTATAATGACTTGCTCAATTTGCTCTAATCTAGCATGATGTTATTTAAACGGATTAATATATCTTAACTTATCCAAACTTATTTTATCTACATAAATTTTATCTAGCTTTATGAAATTGGTTAGATACCTAATTTAAACCAATTTTATCTACGTAAATTTTATCTAGCTTCATGAAATTGGTTAGATTCAATAGAATTGATCTTTAGTTAACCTAATTCACTGAGTGAAAATAAGAATAGGTGAATTAGACCAAAATAATAATTTTAAAAATTAAAATATTAGATAATTAATTTCACACGGATGACTTTAAAAATAAAATGTCTGAGAAGAGGGTGAATGACATTGATAAGAAAGAAGATAGCGAATACTTGAAGAAAAAATGGTCTAATTGATGTAAATATGTTGTGAAAATCTTGAAGGAAAATGGGTGATTGACGAATATGAGTAGATTGTCTTAGAGGAAAATATGGTTGATTAGTAAAAGATGACTTATCAATAGGAAGGGGACTGATCAGCAGGGGGAGAGGACTGATAAGTGGACTCAAAGGAAAAAGAATGAGCATTTGGTAAACATAGTGACGGTGTAGATGAGGGATTAGACAAGTGTGGAAAATAATTCTCGTAAAAAATTACATGTTGGGATGTTTCAACAGTATGGGTGTGAAGATCATAGAAGAGATATCATTTAGTAAGTCGTTTGAAGCCAATAAAAATGAAAAGTTGAGCTCGTGAGTCAAGTTTAATGTTATTAGTAGTGACAACACTATTGTTACACAGAAAACTGAAAACATGAAGGTTAGAAATGTCATAAGGATGGTGATAAAAAATTTTCCTAAGGGGACATGTTATGCAAGAAAGGGATGGGAATGCAATTAATTAAATAGATTGCATGAAGTAAAGCAAAACACCAAAAAATTGGTGATAAATTTGATTGAAGAAGTAAGGCATGTGTAACATATAACAAATGTTGGTGTTTCCGTTATAACAATTCTATTTTGGTGGGGTGTTCCTATGCATGTGGTTTGATGGATGATGTCTTTAGATAGAAAATATTAATGCATAAAAATTCAACACCATTATTTGTGTGAATGTGTTCAACACGAGTCTCAAATTGATTTTTTATATGAGTGATAAAATTGATGACAAGTGTTTGTGTTTCACTTTTGAAAAACATTAAATAGACTCATGTAAAACATGTATGATCATCTTATTAAGTATATGAAGTCTGAAGGGTTATTGGGTCTAACCCATTTATTTATTCTTTTATTATAAATATTCATGTAATTGTAAACCTAATTGTGGGAATAAGAACTATCATTTAGTGCAGTCGTGGACGTAGGTCACTTTGAATGAACCACGTAAATTTCTTGTATTTTTATTATTTACTTTCGTCTTGTATTGCATTTGTGTTCCCAACAATTGGTATCAGAGCTTAGGTTTTTTTCATGCGAGTGGGAGCAATGGCTGAAGACGGGAAAATGAATATTGGAAAGTTCGATGGAAGCGATTTCGGATATTAGAAGATGCAGATTGAAGATTATCTTTATCAGAAAAAGTTATATCATCCTTTGCCTAAAAATAAACTAGAAATGATGTCTCAGGCAGATTGAGAGTAGTTAGATCGACAGGCTTTGGGCGTTGTTAGATTAACACTGGCGAAGAATGTTGCCTACAATATTATCAATGAGAAGACGACATATGGTTTGATAAAAGCATTATCAAACATGTATGAGAAGTCATCGGCATCAAACAAGGTATTTTTTATTCATCAATTAGTTAATACGAAGATGCGAGAAGATGCTAGTATTACAGATCATGTGAATGAATTTAATTCCTTATTATCAAGATTAATGTCAGTGAATATTAAATTTGATGATGAAGTACAAGCCCTATTATTATTATCTTTGTTGTCCGATAGTTGGTCAGGAACTGTCACGGCAGTGGCCAGTACATCTGAGACTATGAAATTAACCTTTGAAGGAATTAGAGATTTAATCCTTAGTGAGGATGTTCGTAAAAGACTGCTAAAGAATCAACAAACTCCTTATTAAGCACAGAAGGAAGATGTAGAAAACCTGAAAGAGGGTAAGGCTCTGGACGTGGTAGATCAAAGTCCAAGGAGCAAAGATAGTCCAAATCTCGCAAAGATATTACTTGTTGGAATTGTCAACAGAACGAACACTTTAGGAATTAGTGTACTGCTCCTAAAGAAAAGAGGCATGACAATACAATGAATGCAGCAGAAGAAGAAAGACAGTGATGATGCGTTGATATGTTGTGTTGAGAGCAAGTTTGAATTCTGGATCATGGATTCTGGTGCATCTTTTCATGCTTTTCCTTGCAAGGACTTGATGAAAAATTTCAAAAGTGGAAGTTTTGGCAAAGTGCGTCTAGTAGATAATGAAGCTTTAGACATCGCATGATAGATATAAATCTTAAAACATTTACAGATATAATATGGACTCTAAAGGATGTAAGATATATTCCAGGACTCAAAAGAGTGTTAATCTCTGTGTGTATGTTGAATGTTCAAGGATATCGAGTTATATTCGGAAAAGGCAAATGGAAGGCGGTGAATAGTAATCTAATTGTTGCTTATGGTTGGAAGAAATGAACCCTATACATGACAAAATTACCTACAAAAGAAGTAAATTCAATTAGTGATGATGTTGGTGATGATTTTGGTCATTCTTCAACTTTGTGGTACCAAAGGCTTGGTCACATGAGCGAGAAGGATATGAAGATAATAGTCTCAAAGAGGAAGATTCCAAAATTGGAAAATGTAGAAGTTGATTTCTGTGAACCATGTGTGTTTGGGAAGTAGAAAAAAATTACTTTTACAAAGTCAGGGAGGATGCCCAAGGTAGAGAAGTTGAAACTTGTTCATTCAGATGTGTATGGGTCAACATCAGTCTCATCATTGGAAGGATCACGATACTATGTCACCTTCATAGATGATTCCACTAGAAAGGTATGTGTTTATTTTTTAAAGCAAAAATCAGAAGTATTTAATACCTTTAAGAAGTGGAGAGTCACTGTTGAGAATGAGACAAGGTTAAAATTTAAATGTTTGAAGTCTGATAATGGTTGTGAATATAGTAGTACTGAATTTGTTTATTACTATGCTGAGAATGGAATTAGAATGTTTAAAACTATTCCTGAGACACCTCAACAGAATAGTATTGTTGAAAGAATGAATAGGACCTTGAATGAGAAGGCAAAAAGTATGAGAATTCATGCAGGATTACCGAAGACATTCTGGGCAGGAACAGTGAGCACAACAGCATACATCATTAATCGAGGACCCTCAGTTCCCATAGGATTTAAGATTCTTGAGGAAAAATAGCAAGGCAAGGATGTAAGTCTTTCTCATTTGAAAGTATTTGATTGTGCTTCTTATGTTCGTGTTAAAGATGTTAACAATGACAAGCTTGATCTGAAAGCAAAAGTGCATTTTTATTACCTATGGAGTAAATGATATGGGATATCGCTTCTAGGATGATCTGAACAAAAGGATTATTAGAAGTAGAGATGTTACATTTAATGAAAATACAATGTATAAGGATAAACTTGAGACAAAAGTTAATGTTGAAAAGAAGCCAACAAAGAAAAAAAAGGTAATGTTAGAGAACATTACAAAAGGCGATCTATCAAGAAAAGGTTAGAGTTTAGAAGACAGTGTTGAAAGTCCCACACAGGATTATTGAGGAGACTACTCTTGTCACCCCAGTAGTTGAAGTGAGGAGATCCAACAGAGTTATTAGGCCTCCTCATAGGTTTTCTCCTTCAAAAAATTACTTGTTGTTGACTGACGATGGAGAACCTTTGTGTTATGATGAGGCATTACAGATGGATGATGCAACTTAGTGGGGGTTAGTCATGCAAGAGGAGATGAACTCACTTGAGAAAAACAAAACTTGGTATTTGACCGACCTACCAATAGGAAAGAGGGCATTGCAGAATAAGTGGGTCTTCAGGATTAAGGAAGAACATGATGACAACAAGAAATACAAGACAAGGTTAGCGGTGAAAGGCTTTCAGCAGAAAAGATGTATTGACTATAATGAGATTTTTCCTCTTATAGTTAAAATGATACCATTAGACTTGTATTGAGTATTGTGGCTGCAGAAGATTTACATTTAGAGCAGTTAGATGTTAAGACAACATTCTTACATGGTGACCTTGATGATGACATTTACATAATGCAACTAGAGGATTTTCAAGTTATAGGGAAAGAAAACTGGATTTTCAAGTTGACCAAAAATTTGTATAGGTTTAAGCAAGCACCTAGACAGTAGTACTTAAAGTTTGATATTTTTATTAGTAGGATAGGGTACAAGAAGTGTGTCATAGATCAGTGTTGTTATAGGAAAATTTTAGTTTATCCTATATCATATTACTATTGTATGTTGATGACATGTTAGTTACAGGTTCTAACATGGATGAAATTAATAGATTGAAGTCACAGTTGTCTGAAGAGTTTGAGATGAAGGATTTGGGTATTGCAAAATAGATTTTTTTTTGCATGAATTCAGCAGGAACAAATTTGAAGGTTCCCTAATATTATCTCAAGAGAAGTATATTGGGAAAGTGTTAGAGAAATTCAATATGCAGGATGCCAAAATTGTAAGTACACATTTGGGAGTTCACTTTAGCTTAATATATGCAATTGGTATGCACTAGACTAGACATTATTCATGCAGTGAGAGTTGTTAGTAGATTCATGTTTAATCCAAGAAGGAAGTATTTGGAAGCTGTCAAGTGGACTAATAAGTGATGGTACATTATTTTTGGAGAAGATCCTTGGGTCAGAGAATCCTACAGATATGTTGACCAAGGTGGTTACTATTGAGAAGTTGAAGTTTTGTATAACTTCAACTGAATTTCATGGTTAAGTGTTGAGAAGACATTACACTAGTTTGAGGTTGTTATAACTTTGAGGTTTACTAAATTTATCTTGGAGTGTGCTTGATGTGATCAACCTCCAAGTAGGAGATTTGGGTATCCAAATGTGAGTTAAATCTCACATTGAGTTAGAATGAGAAAGTTGAGCAACATATAAGGAAGTATGACCTATAACCTAATGTCTTAAGGTTTTTGGTTGAAAGTGGTGTCAATCCCTTATATAGGTTGAGCTCATGTCTCATTGGTATATTTCTCCCCTGCGAATCCCCCTCGAAAGACCCAACACATCCACCATTATTAAAAAATATTTTTGTCCATGCATACATAATTTTAACATGGTCTCTACATATCCATATATAACAGTTCAAAAGATTTAGGTATATGAGAATTGCTTAATAAAAAAGATAATTTCTTTTGTTTTGAATGGTGACATATATTACAAACAAAAATTCTATCACTAGATAACCAAGTATAGACTATAAACAATCATGCGAAAGATGATCCAGATCTTATAAAAGAAAATTATTATGTAAAAATATTATTCAATAATATTACATGCTTATAGAAATTGTGTGTTTAAATTATAAGGTGATGTGGTTGGCTATTCAAACATGTTAATTACAACTTTTTTTATTAAATGTACAAATTTATATAAAGTATAGTGCATATATGTGCAAAAATGTGGATGAATGTCTTCTAATGAGATATTTTTTACATTAACATGGTTAATTACTTATATGTCTAATAACAAGTAATTAGATTAAAAAAATAAACATATTTTACATGTTAAATTGGAATACAATTTTAGCTATATTAACTAATTATTATAATATTTATGTGTAGGTTTTTTTATTTAAGAAAAGCGAAAAAAACATATTTTAAGTACATAAAAATAAAAAATATATTCAATTTGTTTACAAAATTTTTAAAAAATTTAAAATATGACATAATTATACAAGTAATATCATTGTGTTCATAATTAATAATTAATTATATAATAAATATTCTATCACGTTATATAACCAATCATATTTTTGTTATAAAATATTTTTTTATACTTATATTATTATAATATTACTAAATAATTTAAAAATCATAAATAAAATTATTAATAATAAATTAATTTTTTATTTAATCAAACAAATTTTTTTCTTTGTTTACAATATTAAGTTGATTTGATAAAATTATGAAGAGATTATTACTCATAACTTTAATTAATTATATTATTGAAATAAAATATTTTTAAAATTTAATAATTATAATATAAATTATCAATTTGAGACACGTTGAAGTGAAAAGACACTAATAAAAGAAATGTATAAATTGACAATTTTTTTTAAATAATCATTTAATATTTTTAATAATATAATAAATATTTTTAATCATTATCTTACTCATTAAATAATAATAATAATAATAATAATAATAATAATAATAATAATAATAATAATAATAATATATTATAAAACATTGCTAAATAAATGCACCTGACAAAGACTATACCACTCATAATAAAAAAACTGTTATAATTTTTTAAAACAATATTTATTATAGTAAAAAAATTATTTTTCAAAACAGTTCAAAATGGCTTATCATTGAAATGAAAGTTAAAATGGCTTAAATGATCATAAGCCGCACTATATTTTCTTGAAACAACTCAGGTTCCTTTTCCGACATTCAACAACTCCATACATAATACAGCATATTGACCAATGCAATTTTCCTCTCTCCGCTGCAGCAGACACCACAGAGAGACCGAAACGTTGAAATTTGTGCAATCCAAAGGTTCCAATAAATAACTGTAATACCGGTTCCAATAAATAACTGTAATACCGGTCATCTACACGTGTATAGTTCTAATTTGATTCCTCAGTATTAATCTGATCCTCAAGATTACTTCATTTGCTGTTAATAAATAACTGTAACACCGGTCTTCTACGCGTGTATAGTTCTAATTTGATTCCTCAAGATTACTCCATTCCTGTAATAAATAACTGTATTACCGGTCATCTACACGTGTATAGTTCTAATTTGATTCTCAAGACTACACCATTTGCTGTTAATAAATAACTGTAATACCGGTCATCTATAGTTCTAATTTGATTCGTCAAGATTACTCCATCTGATGTTACTAAATAACTGTAAAACCGGTCATACAAATTATTATAGTTATAATTTGACAGGTCATACAAATTATTATAGTAATAATTTGACATCAAATTTTAAATATTTATCGTTCACATTTGAGTTCTTCGAACGTTTCCAAAATATGAATATTATCCTCTTTCCAAATAAAGAGTCTAAAAAATTATTATTCTGAAAATAAAATACAAAATTAAAAGGTTTGGAAAAAATATTACTTTCTTTTAAAAAATAGTCTTAAAAGATTATTGTTCTTAAAAAAAATAAAACTATTATTTTGGAGTGAAAAGAGTACTTTCTAACTCCAAGCTAATTTTTTCATTGTTTTGCTCATTGAAGGGTTCTCAGTCTGAGTCTATTCATTCTTCCATTTGCATGAATTCATGAGATTTTTTTCAAAAAGAAAAGGAAATGTAGTAACAAGACAACAATAGTCTGCTACCCTTCACACTTTCTTTAATATATTCATCATGCTTGTAAAAGTAAGATAAAAACCAAAATTGAAATGATAACATTTGCAAAATTTAAAAATGGTGTCGCCACGTGAACAAAGGAAAGTGGCCACAAATAACAATGATCAAAATCAACTAAATTGACTATTAATAGAGACTAAAACAAAATTAGACATAAGTCAGATACCAAAATAAAAGCAAAGGACATGAATGAACAAAAATAGTTTATGCAGGAGACCAACACACTATTTTACACTATGTTACATTTGAACAATGTGTTGACTATAGTTGCATTCCCAAGAGTTGTTTGTGTACTGTCTAGTCGTGATCTCCCGCCCCCATAAACACAAAAGTCCATGTTAAAGATTACAATAAAAACATGCCGTGCAAGTTGTTCTGTTCTATCAACAACAAAATGATGGATGCACTCCTGACTTCTCTTCTTCCATTTCATCCGCAATGTCCCTGCCAAAAAAGTGTTTTGCTTTCAAAAAAGGAGCTGAATGATTATTAAATTCACTTTTCAGAGCTGAGGAGAAACTTGTATAATAACATAGTGAGTATATTGAGCTCCATTTTCTATACAAAACCTCCACTCAATCTGACTCTAGAATATTCATCAGGCTAGATAGAGTTAATAGGTAGTGGGTTTAAAGACAAAACAACAAATTATCAACTACCAAAGACTTGAAATCTAAATTGCTTAATATTCGGCTTCAAAACAAATTATAATTATTACCTCACATGGGCAGTGACGTTTGAGAACTTGGAATTAGCCTGTCCATCTTCATCAGGATCAGAATCATAATCTTCACCATCCCATTTGCGAAGGATTGGTCTTCTATCCACGTCCTCTTCAGCCTGAATACAAAATAAAATCAAACAACGAGAATGGAATGGCAGGGGGACAACAACTACAACTGTTATCAAGTACTGACCTCTTCTGGAATTTGTAAGGTAGGTGGTGTTGTCTGAAAAGGTACACTGGGAGCATGGGGAAGTCGGGAGATCTGTTCTAGTAGTGTGTTCCTTGAAATTTAATGGTGGAAAAACATATTAAGTCACTGCTTAATCCAGGGAATGTTAGGCAATATCTGAATATGTAATACAAGAGAAAGGGAAGTATAAATTCTGACTATGGTTCGGTCATGGGCCTCCTGGCTTCTTGCACATAAAGAGACACAAATTCCATGAAACCCTAAACCCTATCAAAATACAATGTCTTCCCAACCAATATGAAAATAACAATTGGGGTATGAAATATAGCTTGACCATGCAACTACTTGTAAGCTTCTGAAAACATTATATTTTGTAGAAAGGATGTGACATGGATCAAATTTTTAAGTAGTAACATTCTTAACTATTTAAGACCATTACATGTAATGACATGGATCATATCTCAGGTATGCATCTACTTATAATTTAATGCAATTAGTTAATTACATTCTTAACAATTTATGACAATTACTTTTTCCCCATAATTAAGAGAAATAAAATTGAAACGGAAACATCAACTTTAACTAAACCAAGATGAAATTATTAGAATAAACACCTTATTTTTTCCATATCCTTGGGTGTGTTTAGATTCTCCATATTGCTTGGATCGACATAGAGAGTATAATCTGGACCAAAATATTCGTAATATTCATTATAAGGCAACTTGTTATCAGGCTCAACTCCGACTGCCACTGCTGTCTAAAACAAATTAAAAACACGTAACAAATAAGTAAATTAAACCAGTTCCAAGTCACATCATAATCTGGCCTAAAAAGAGAAAGAAACGGACCTCATAACACCAACATCGGGCAACATTTCGAATTGTATATCCACCCCCACCCAAGACCATTAAAGGAACATTGAAAGATCTAAGGAAACGAAGGCAATCTGCATGACCTTTCACAGACAGGTTGAAGCAACCCAACCTGTCACCAGATAATGAATCAGCTCCGCATTGAAGAACAACTGCCTCAGGTTGATAAACCTCCATGACTTTATGAATCACAGTTCGAAACAGACCACGAAAATTATCATCATCCATTCCGTCGTTTAATGGGACATTGAGAGCATAATTCTTTCCTGAGCCCACCCCAACGTCTTTGATGTGCCCTGTGCCTGGGAAAAAGTCCCCAAACTTGTGAAAAGAAACTGTCATCACTCTATCAGTGGTGTAAAAGGCCTCCTCAACTCCATCACCGTGGTGAACATCAATGTCAACATACAGAACACGCTGCCAAGTATCATAAAACAGATAGCGAGAGAGACAATTCAGGCAAAGGAAGAAAGAATGTGAATATAAACAACAAACTAAATCAACAACTTGTAACACAAGCAACAGAGTTCTGCATAAGTAAAAATACAAGTTTGATTCTCACAGAGAAAAACAACAAAAAATTGAAACCAGGAAAAATTCAATCTTAACTCTTGACAACATGTCTAACAATCAAGAGATTACAGCTTAACAATAAATTGCTCCATCTGATTTTTTTATTTTTATTTTTGTACTTTTTATTAAGCACTGGTAGCAGGAATTGCATGGTAGCTGTGGAATATAAACGGAACGGAAATAGTGACCACTGTTTGATTGGATTAGGAATAAAATGAAATTTTACACAATTTGAATTTGTTATTGTTAGGATATATGAAGCCAAAAACAGAACCACGTTTTGAGAAAACAGAATCATGTTTTGGGGAGAGTCAAGGCACACTATAATTGTATAAACTATAGAAATGAAGCAGCATTCCCACGTAAGAGAGGGGATTACCCTGTGAACTTTGAGAAGCTCGAGGATACCGAGAACAATGTCGTTGACATAACAGAATCCAGAGGCTTCGGACTTCTTGGCATGGTGGAGGCCGCCGGCCCAGTTGATAGCGATATCGGCGTCAGCACGGTTGAGTTTGACGGCAGCCCCCATGGAGCCGCCGGCAGAGGCCTGACAGAAGTTGAAGAGGCCGTCGAAGACGGGGCAGTCCTCGCCAACATTGAAGCGCTTGAGTTGGCGCGAGAAGGCGGAGTCGGCGAGGGTCTCAGGGGAGACTGAGGAGAGGAAGTGGACGTAGTCATCGGAGTGGAAGCGGCGAATGTCGTCGGGGGAGGCAGGGTAAGGGCGGTTAATCTCCATTCGGCGGTGGAGGGAGTAGTGAACGATAAGGTTGTGAGCCATGCGGATGCGGTGCGGCTTCATTGGGTGGCCCTGGCCGTAGTAGTAATCGCCGATGGTTGGCTCGTAGAAGTATGTGACGCTTCGCTTCTTGGCGTCTGAACCTGACGATGGTAGCGAAGCTCCACCTTCTATGTTGCTATTGCTACTCTCCTCTTCCATCATACCCATTCGATGCGGATGCAGATTTCTCTCCTTCGCTGTAACACAAATAATTTATTATTCAAAATTGAAGAGTACGAGATCCAATACCCAAACCCTTCTCTTCTCTCTGCCTATGTAAATGTGTGAGCCTCTGTCTCTGTATTTGCAGTGGGCGGGGAAGGGTTATTTATTTCTCACCACATTTCATCCTATTACATTCCTCCTTTCCTTTCACGCCTTTCCACCATCCCGCTTCCCTATGCACAGTTTTAAGTTTAGGTTTTTACTTCTTCTTTTTTTTATATAAAAATTATAACCATTTTACCTTCATTTTATTCCAATATCATTTTTCTCAAGGGTGAACAAATTTCAATGCTATATTTAATTCGCACGCTATTACAATTCAAATTTGATTTTAATTGTAAAACAATACACTGAGTGAGTGGTAATTTCAACTCAAACAAACTTTTAAGATATGGTTCAAGTTTTTCTTGATTTGGGAATATATACAAGTTAGAAGTATCTCTATTAGGCAAATTAGTACTTATAATAGCTTCTTCTTTTTTTCATAATTATACGATGAAGTACACAAGTAATTCTAAAATTTGTGGAGAATAAAAAGTTGTGTAAGTTAAAGTTATAAATAGAAAAAAATATATTCTTTAATCATTAAAAATTATTATTTCTCAAAAGAATTTGTTCTTTTATTTTTTTTAATAAAATATCTACATTTTGGTTAAATTTATTCGCTTATATTTTTATATTGTGTTCGATATGAGAAGAATAGTCAATTTTACTTGATAAATTTTTTATTTAAATAAGTTTTATTGAGAATTTTTTATTTAAATAAGTTATATTTATATTAAAATCTTCACTTATTTATTTGTCTTCATCTGATTTCCTTCATTTATTTATATTTTTTGGGTTAAAATCTGTGTTAATATGAAATTATTATAATTTTTTTAAAGTCAGTATCTTATGAACACATATACCTATCTGATCTGATTAAACAAATACTTATTTTTGAATTATTTGTTTGTGGTTAGATTAGGATTATTGAGATGGGTTTATTTTTTCGGGAAAAAATTCAACTCCCGAGGATTGAATTTTGCGCATGGAACTGCAAAAGCTATAGGAGGGAGAGATGAGAGAGAATAAGAGGGAGTGAGAAAAATATCTTTCTTAGAATGAAATTTTTTTTTTCCATAGAAGGTAAAAAAAAATCAAAAATCAGGTTGAAATTTGATTATTTTTTTCCGGTGCCAATAGTAAAAGTCATTAAAAAAAGAAAATTCAAGAATTTAAATTTGTATCTAACCATAATTATATACATAGGTAAATAAATTAATAAGAAGCTTTATTTTAGTATATTTGTTCAAAAAAATTACTTTACAAATGTAAATACATGTTTATTATTTATGTAAAAAATTTGATTATTGAGAACAAAATTTTGTTATGGGTGACATAAAAAATTTAAATTATTTTTTAAGATTTTTTTTATATTTTTTAAATTGTCGTTTCACCAAATAATTATTTATTTATTATAAGGACGATATATTTCTCACTCCCTTTTATTCTTTTCTCTCCCCTCCTATTGAAAAATTCTTCTATTTTGTGCATATGAATAATTAACTCAAATAGATGCATTATCAATTTATTTAACCATCTATATTAATACAGAACAAAAAATGTCTTTATGAATTTTTATAGTTTATATTGGAATAGCGTAACCAAATTCCAATTGATTTTTGAATTTTTTATCATTTCTAGTCAAATTTTTATTCCACCTATTAATTATTCATTAATTCCAAGGTGATATATATATTTCCCTCCATGTTTTTCTCTGTCTTATCTTTTCCTATCCTAAAAACTTCTATTTTTTTGGTAGGTGTATTTTCATCTAATTTCTTTTTTTTTCTTTTTTCTTTAGATTAAAATCTATGTTTAATATAGAGTTATTATTATATTTTTTTAAATTAATATATTGTAAATTAATATCTTTCTAATGATGTACGTACTTTTTCTTGTTATTTATTTATGGTTAGATTGAGATTATCCGGATGGAGTTATCTTTTCAAAAAGAAAAATTAGGTTTCGAATTCTGTGGATGGAACAATAAAAGCTTTCGGATGAAAGAGGGAAGAGAATAAAAAGTGAGAAAAAGTTACTTCTTAGACTTAATGAACGAATAATTAATTGATAAAATAAGAAATTTCTTTCATAAAAGTTTTTAAAAAATACAATAATTTGGTTCTACTTTTTCCATCTCAAAAATCGAATTTTATTCATAAATAATTTAAATAAATTTGAATAATTTTTTTTCAAAAATAATATCAATATAAATATTTCAGAAAAATCTTGAATAAATTTATTTTCAATTTATTTATCTAATTACACATTTTTATTATTTATGTGTAAAATTTGATTATTAAAAACAAAAAATTCTTTATGATTTTATATTCGAAATTTATTTTTATTTTTAAAATAAAAATCATCATTTGGCCAATTAATTATTCTTTCATTGCAATAAACATTTATTTGATTCTCTTTTATTTTTCTATCTCCTCAGTCACCCCATATGTTTCATTTGTTTTGTGCATATAAATCTTTGCGTAGGTCTCTCTTTTTTAAGGTTAAAATATGTGTTCAATATGAAATTGTTATTATATATATAAAAATAATAAATAAATATAGTTGGATAAATAAATTGAAAAAAAAATTAAGTCAATTATTTATGTAAAAAAATACCATAAACAGAACAGTGACCTATGACTAGGTAGCATGATTATTTTTTAAAATTCATGGAAGTTTGTTAACATGCTAATTCTTATATTAATTGCAGAAAGAATAACATAAATTTTGGGCAATCATTAATATGACATACATGGTTGTTGAACATCATTTTCAAGTGTTATTTTAATACTGAAAATCGGCTTGAAAGTTAAGTAAAATCCAATTTTTTATAAAGGTGTTAGCCTTATACTCCTTATTTTTAAATTGTTAAATCTGAGAAGACAAAAAAAAAAGGGTAAAACTGGAAAAGGGGTGACAATTTGAAAAAAGAAAATATTGCCCGTTAAATTTTAATCATTAAATCTAACGCTGGTAAACATCTTTTCCAATGTGCCTTGACCTGTTCAATAAATATAACATATAGACATTAATTTAATTGGTTGGTAGGTGTAGGTTTTTTTTTATTTATTTATTATTAGGGATGAAAAATAAGTTATATTATTGGACAAAAACTTATAATTTGTCTTACATTACTCTTAATAATATAAATTTAATTAATATTTTTATTAATATGATTAGTATATTTAAATTATTTTAATATCTTAAGCCCAATTTATTTATACCTTATAAAACTGTTGAAAATAAATTTATAGCTTATTTAAACATCTTATTATATAAAAAAAAACATTTTATTCAACTCAACAAGATAAAAAAATTGAAAAATAAACTTAAAATATTAATTTTTGGTTTTTAATCACTAAAAAGAAACTTTTGAAACGAAAAGTTTAGAACCTTTAAAGTTAATTTTTTTATTTTGAAAAGTTAAAATGAAATTTTTATAATTTTTTAAATGTTTATGTATTAATTAATAAACAATTTTTTTAAAGTAAATACATATTTTCAAACTAGAATAATCAAATAAAATTTATAATTTTGTAACTTCATTTGATAACTTGGACTATACATAGTTTAAAGTTTCCTTAGACAAATTATATGTAAAAAAGAATATATATATATATATATATATATATATATATATATATATATATATATATATATTTGCTTGATGATCAAACATAATAAGTGAAAAATATAATATTTTTCAAAAATTTACAAATATATTGAAGTTTATAAAATATCTTGATAAACAAATACAAATTTTTAAGATTACATTATATATTTTTATGTATAGATAAGTAAAAATAGCATTTTTTATTAGATTAATAAGTAAGTTAAATTGTATACTTATTTTCTTTATAATTATTATAACGAGAATTCAAAATTGGTTTTAAGAAAATCATATGTAACTCATCCATAATACTTTTGAAATAAAAATGAAAAATGTATCCTTAATTTTAATAGAAAAAGGTAAATATATAAATAATAATTAATATAATTGTGTACGCTCCAGTATTAGTAATATTTAGTGTGACCAATCTATTTTATCTAATAATTATAGAAAATGAGAAAAACAAGATTTCAAACTTTAAACCAACTAGTACTCAGTGAGATGAGTTAATAATTTTAATTTATAGATATGGTTTGATCTTCGGTCGATTTGTTAATTCAACGAATCAATAACATCAAATCAATGATTAGTGGACGCTAGTTTATTTTTAAAAAATATTTATATATTAAAATTAAAATAAAAAATTATAATTAAAAATATTATATTTTATTATATTATTAAGATATATAAATATATTATAATATTATAATTTAAATTATATTAATCAATTAAACTTAAATGATAGATTATAAATTAAGTATTTTAATACATAAATATAATAAATTTTTAAAATTATTTAATAAAATTATTAATAATTTATTTAATAAAATTATCAAGTAATTAATAAAAAATTAAAATATTCATATAATAAAAAAATATATTATTAAAAAATACGTATATAAACTTTTATAAAAAAAATAATATTTATGAATTTTCTTGGTAATCTGATTTTGATATGATAATTTTGAAAGTGATCCTAGCAAAGATCTCATTGATTTGATGAAGTCAAAGATAAAGTCAAGGGTCAACTCTGCAGCGAGTCAAACAAGTCACTCGGAAGAATGGAGTGAAGACTTAGTGTGTCTTAACGAAAGCTTAGGTAAAACCACTTTACCTTTTCCACTCGCATAAAGCTTCTTCACTCATCTTGCAAAATGCCTCAAAAATAGTTTTAAACAAATCAAACAAAAGCATTTTGACAAAGAACCTTCTTAACAATAGTTTTAACTGATATAGTTTTTTAAGAAACGATTAAAATCACTAAGAATGCGTAAAGAATTGTTTT